AGCCGCGACGGGTGGGATCGGAGCGCTGTGGCCGCGGCAGAGTGAGCACCTCTCCGTCTCTCGCCCTCCTCCCAGGTCTCAGCAACATCATTGGGATCATCGTCTACATCTCGGCAAACGCTGGGGACCCAGGGCAAAGCGACTCCAAGAAGAGCTACTCCTACGGCTGGTCCTTCTACTTTGGTGCGCTGTCCTTCATCATTGCCGAGATGGTGGGGGTCATCGCCGTGCACATGTATATCGAGAAGCACCGTCAGATCCGCGCCAAGTCCCACGCGGAGCTGCTGAAGAAGTCGGCCTTCACGCGCCTCCCCACCTACAGGTATCGCTTCCGCCGGCGGTCCAGCTCCCGCTCCACCGAGCCCCGGTCCCGGGACATGTCGCCCGTGAGCAAAGGGTTCAACACCATCCCTTCCACCGACATCTCCATGTTCACCCTCTCCAGGGATCCCTCCAAGATCACCATGGGCTCGCTGCTCAACTCGGAGCGGGACCACAGTTTTTTACAGGTCCATAACTCCATCCCCAAAGAGTTCAAGGAGTCTTTGCACAACAACCCGGCCAACAGACGAACCACGCCGGTCTGAGCCGGGCCTCCCGTGCAGCCCCGCGGCGCCGGGCCGGGCTCCTGTACAGAGGTGTTTTGTCAGGCTGCATGACATGATCCTCGTGACGGTGTAACCAGTGAAACCCCATTTTTAAGGACAAACCCAGATGGCTCCCTGAGCCCCTACCCCAGAGCGGCTGGTTTTTCACCCCCGAAACACCGCTCGCCAGGCCAGGCCACTGTGTCCGTGGGTGAACTGTGATTCCCGCTCTTTCTCCTTCTCCTTCTCCTCCGGTGGGGAATGCTCGCGGCTGTGCTGGGACTCCCTGGCCGTGGTGCCCCTGAAGACGGACGGGGGGTTTCCAACACCACCTGGGACAGTGGCTTCCCAGAGCCACCATCATTAATGTTGATAATACTCGCAGTGTTACCTTAGCTGTATGTCCCAATGGAAATGCTGGCGATAGCCCTATCTGTGAGAATCCTTAATCCGGTAGTTACATTTATGCGAAATTGCCTAGAAGTCCGGAGTAGGAAGCACTGAATTGGCTAACGTAATGAGTGCTCGTGTTACTAAAGCTTTTCCCTTGTTGTAACGGATGGAGAGCCGGGGCTGGGTTTCTTTCTGGCATTTCGTGCATGCATTAAATAGCTTGGAATTCAATTTTGTCATGTTGGGTTGGAAGAAACATCCCTTTGCAATTTTCTGTGTTTCTGAAAGGGCTCCTTTCTTTCTTTCTTTCCTTCTTTTTTTCTTTCTTTTCGTGCACTCAGACCATGAAGGACTCAGGAGCAGAATTCCTGCAATGGCTGGTAGCGATTAGCCAGTATTTAATTAACCTCTAATGTTGCAAGAAAATGAAATAATTCCCTAAAATTAATACACACACAGTCACAAATTACTGCCTGGGCACAATTAAGGAGGCAACGTTCGACCTGGTGTGACTTCAGGAGAAGCTGGGTTTGTGGCTGGGCCTCTGGCTAGAGTCTCTGTGTACAATGCTATAACGAAACATGACTGGGAGATTAATGAGAAAAACAACAATAAAAAATTCCAATTTGGCAAGCAAGCTGCTTGGCTGAATAGGCAGCACCGTGTCCGGAGAACTATGGACGTCCGTTAGGGAAATGCTCATTCCGGAGGGGGAGACGCGCGAGGTCCTGCAGCGCCGGCTGCTCGGGGGTGCGAAGTGTTGGCCGGTGCTCGCTGGCCTGGCACGGGGCGGCCGTCTTCCAAAAAGGAGCCATGGTGCAAACACGTGCATGTGCAAACGTGAAGCTGGGGTGTCCCAAGGCAGCCCCTGCGGGGCTCCTCTTTGGAAGAAGCGCCGAGTTCGGAGCCCGTCGCAAAATCGGTGGGGAGCAACTTTCCTGGCTCCGCTTTATCTGGTGCATTTGTGTGCTTAGATGTCAGTGCTGGAGACTGTCTCCTCTGAGCTGTTTTGAAGGGACGTGCCAGCTGCCTGCGCAGTGTGACAGCCAGAGGAAGACATGGGCTGACAAAAAGGAGTTTAGTCTTTAAATGTCAAGGCATATGTGTGCAGCCGGAGATTTGGCTTTAAACGTTGAGCCGCCTTGTCTCGCTGGAGCAGAGCTCGCCTAATGGAGGCGGTTTCTAAGCAGCTGGTCTTGCAATTTGACATGTCACTTAATTGAAATCTTATTTAATCTTTTGACAAAACTGATGGATTCCCACTGAGGCCCGGGGGCCGGGGGTGGGGGGGGGCTCATTGGGCAACTGAAGGTAATTTGGGGCCAGAAGAGCTCTCTCGGTTACTCATGCTCCCTGCTAAAAGGAAACATCTGGTGCCTGCTTTGCATTTGTTTAAATAGCCTTGCCCTGGGGCTCCTCCCTGAAGTTGGTGCTGGTGGGGTGCTTCCTGGTCCCTGCTGGGAGTGAGGGCTGGGTTGCACCTGACCCACGGGCTGCTCTGCACTGGATGCTGTGGCGGCAGCTCGGCCTCCAAGTAAGATTTTCATTTTTTGCGCTTCTTTAGCTGTGCTGGCCCTTGTGCTGCTGGCCTGGCCCCCCGGAGAGGGGTCCCGGTGGGAGGTGGTGCTGAGCCTGTGCTGGCTGGTGGCTCGCTGCTGTCACAGCGAGCAGCAAAATCCCTCTGAGAGCTGTTTGGTCCAAGAATGAGAAGTTGCCACCATGGCAGAGTGTGATTACAAGTGGCTTTAGACTGTGTATAGATCCTTCATCTTCATTAAGGTTTATTTGCTACTCTTGCAGAGGTTTTCTGTGCAAGAAGACCTATTCAGATGCTAATTGGGCCTCTTAATTGCAGTAGTTGCTGATTGCACATATTAAAAACAGTTGCTGAAGGGTAGCATTCTGATCTTGGGGAAATATTTAAAAACAGAGCAGTGAGGAGACTGGCTGTGTGCAACAGAAAAGCAGCAGCATCTAATTTACCTGGTGTGTAGCTGGGAGTCCTGGGATGGGGCCTTCCCTCAGCTCCCATCGCCCAGCATCGTGCCTTGAGCAGCTGCTCAGGCAGCCTCTGAGCAAACACAGGGTTTAGTTTATCAATGCATTAATGTACCTCGGTGTTTGCCAGAGCTCTGACTGCCTGTGGTGGAGAGTGGGAATTAAATCCTTGCCAGGTGGAAATGCAGCAGCTCTGCAAGGGAGGTCCAGCACAGAGCATCTGGTCCCTGTGGGGCCACCAACCCTCCCTTTGCGGCCACCATGGGGATCTGCCTGTGGCTTGAGCTACAGAGGTCAGCTCCTGAGAGCTGTGCCCAAAACTGGCTTTCTTGTTGAGCAGGGCTGGTGTCCCATGTCCCTGGGGGATTCCCTGCAGGAAGGGACCTGCAGCACCCCAAAACGAGGGGCTTGGCCCCACTACAGCTGTGGGGGAAGCTCTTGGGAAGCCAAAGCCCACATTAAGCTGCGGCTCCCACCAGCAAATCCTGTTCTGTTCCTCAGATATTCTAACAAAGTTATCCAACCTACAGTATCCGTAAAGTCTGATCGGCTTACTAACGGGATCAATGTGCTTGGAGGACCTCTTTTAAGTACCTCATTAGAGCCTCTGATCATGGAAACCTTGATGCTCTGTGGGCTGAAAGTCGTGCTGAAACCTTTCTTTAATATTCACCCTGCTTGAGCCTCGTCAGCCACAGAGGCTGCTGACCCCATTATGGCCTTCTGTTAGCTGGTGGGATTCCTGTCCCAGCTGCTCTTGTGCCAGGCTGCTGCAACGCTGTCCTGCCTGGCTGCAAAACAGGGACAAACACTGCTGAATATTGAATTTCATATGCACTCACATGTGAGCTTGCACTTTGCTGCTTGTGATGCAAAGGAAAAATGGTTTTTTTGGATTGTTTTTCTTCTGCATTACATCCCCAGAAAGCAGGCTCTGGCTGAGTCACTCAACACTTCAGTTAAGTACCCTCATTCTGCTTTAACAGAGGGGGCGGGGGGAAGAAGTATAGGCTACTTTCTTCTTTTAAGTAAAAACAAGTCCCCAACACTTGCCCTTTGGGAGGTCCCTCCCTCGGTGGTGGGTTTGCCCAGGCTTGGCGCAGGTCCTGGCAGAGTCTGCAGCTCCCCTCCCATTTTGCTGGATGTGTGTTGGGGCAGAGCTGGGAGCAATGTGCTCCTGTGTCAAGAGCCAGGAAAACACCTGACTGGCTGCAAATAAGTTAACTCCTGCATCATGGTGATTGTTAATTATAGTAACACCAATTTCAGCTGTTATCAATACTACTGTCAGATGTTTATTGCTACTGTAGTAGCAAATAGGAGCAAGAGTCACAAAGTGGGATGCTGCTGCACACGGTCCAGGCTGACGCAGGAGAGAAACATGTCGCGAAAGCCTCATTCAGGGCAATTCTCATTGCTGTTGCATTTCTTGGGCACCAGTGAGCCACAGGATTGGCTGGGTAAAGCTTTTACTTTGTTTCTGAGAGAGGATTGGTTTTTTACTTATTTTATTTTTAAATTAAGTTATCACTGAGCAGCTGAAAAAGCCCAGGAGCTGCCCAGGAGGTTTGTGCTGCTCGTGGCCCGTCGCTCCTGTGGCTGAAGGCAAGCACATTGCAGGATCACGGTCTGACACCAAAAATTTCACTTGCTTTTAGTTGAGGCTAAACTTATGGCCCAAAGCTTGTTTGTTTTTGAGGTAGCATAACTCCGGTGATTGCTGTTTTTAATGTAATTGTCCTTTTGTTTTAACCTATGCTATTTGTCTCGGTAACTCAGCTGACTCACTCTGATACTGCTCACAGCAAAGCAGCTCTGGCGCCAAGTCAGATGGCCTGGAAGAAAACTCCTGGAGCTGCTATAGCAGAGCCTTTTAATGCTGTATTAAATGCACAGCATCCATTTAAGGAGTTACTTAACAAAATTATCCAGACGTGTGAGTCTGTAAATCATCTGTTGAAAGCAAAACAGCTCCCAGTGTTAGGGGGCAGGACGAACATCGCCTGGGAGCGTCCAGCTCTCCCCTCTGGGGGCAACGACGGAGTCGTCCAGCCCGGGCAGGAGGCGGCCGCAAAGCCTGGAGGTGGCTCTGAAGTGGCAGATTAATGGGCAGAAGAGGAGCATTTTGGGAAATGTTGCATGAGGCAGTCCTCATGTAGCAGCGTGGCACTGAAAACCTGCAGAGAGGCGATTGCACATGGAGGGAACCGCGTGATCGGCGATGAACAGCCGGGACCGTGGCGCTCGCCACCGGAGTGGCAGCTGGCTGATGCTGCAGACCTGCCTCCGCGCCCTCGTTTCGCGGTGGCCGAGACCAGCCCGCGGCCCTGGCCGAGGAGTGGAGCAATCCATCTGCGGAGGCAGCCTGGGCGGGCGGTGATTTAAGGTGTTTACTGCCATGTGTAATGTCTTTCCTCTGTGCCAATGTCTCCTGTCTGAAGGAGAAAATCAATACTCCGGCTAAATCCAGAGGCTTCAATATTTCTCAGAAGTGTGAATCAATATGGATTTCTTAACAGGTTTAATTTCAATACCTGAAAGTGTGCATTCGGCCTATTTCCTGACCTTTCCATCCTTTGGGGAGGAAGATTAAAAAGATTTGTTCAAATTCAAGGAATTGAATCAGCAAGCGCCCTATCATGTTGCTTTCTTGGTGCACAGTCTGATAGCCCATGATGACCGAGTGGCTTGAGGCCTGTTGTCCAGGGCTGTTTGTGCTGTCAGCCTTGCTGCATGGAGCCGGCCCGGAAAGCCAGGGCCAGCCAGGACTGGGCGCCTGTGCTGGCTCCTCCAGCTCCAGGCGACGCGGGGCAGCTCCGAGGAGCGTGCTGCCTCCGGATGCCCCCTGCCCTGCTCCCGGGCCTCACCAGTCCTCAGTGCGCGAACAAACCCAATGCCATGGCTGCTTCGTAGCAGCCTGATTTAAGGGTGCTGCAGTGCTCAGGAAAAGTGCTATATTTATCCTATGGTGCCTCTGTGCAGTTTTAGATCATCATTTGATCATTGTAAATAGTGCAAAAAGATCACAGCTTGCATGCTCATTGCACCTGAGCAAAAAGGCTTGAAATAATGTAGTCATTGCCCTTGGAGTGATCCTGCTGGACTGAAAAAATAAAGACCATCTATCCAGTTATGGTACTAAAGCAAATGCGTCTGCTAAGGTCGGAGCCTATTATTTCAATGTCAGATATAATAGTGGCTGTTGCCATGGGTTACTTCCATCTCATCATGTATAAACTAGCAATCTGCATAGTGGGTGAGGAGCGTGTGGGCACACGGTGGCAGCCCCAGGGTCGTGGGTCCATCTGCGATGCCCGCAGGTCTGCAGCGCCCCACCAGGATGAGCCTCAGCTCCCTTGCTCCCAGTGATCCCGGGAGGGACTGAAGAAGGCTTTTCCATCATCGGTGAGATTTGCTGAATGTTGTGGGCTTGCATGCTCATTTCCATCTTGGAGGAATTTGGTTTTTTAATTGCTGTGTTCATGTTGTAATAGACAGAAAACCCAAGAAAACCTTGTTTGTTGGGACAAACACAAGGAAACAGGAAGGGAAGATGTCTGCAGAGTTGGTCCACAGCAAACAGTTGTTCTCCTGACCCTTTTTCCAAGCCCAAATCTGCAGCTGCATCAGGATAA